TTTTTTTTCTTTCTTTTCTGGCTTTTTATTTAGTAATTGAACTTTATATCAATGATTGTAGACTTGAAATGGTTTAAGTAATAATTTTATAATTTATTTTGCCACAATAAAATGTCACCTACATGTGCAGAAATAAATGGAATGTTGAACAGATTATTGTAGGATGAGAGAGTGTGTAAGAGTATGCTTACATGGGGACGAGAATGATTCAGTAGAGGAGAAATGGAGCAAAGAGAGAGGGGATTACCTATACCAGGGACGTTTTTTTCAGGGTGGGGAAGTGGCGTGGGATGGGTAGGGCTCTGATAAATAGAAAGACTTAAAAAGTCACAAGATGAAAATCCAGGTAGATAATAGGATTATAAAGTTGGCGGCAAGAAGATAATGGAGTCTTTGGCTTCTGTACACACTACTTGAGGTAGATGAGGTAATAAGTTGAAAACAGGGAAATAGAGTTTGGCGGTTTTGTAATGAGAAGATAGGAGATAGTCATTTCAGAGAATCAATTTAGGAGGGAAATGTGGTATGATTTCCAGGCAAGGCCAAGTGACCTTGAGTTTTAATGTCATCAGTTTAAAGGAAAACTAGTCAGTTGGGCATGTTATTTTTCTGCCAAAGTTATTGAATTCACTCAAGGAAAAGATTGAACCAAAGTTGGTGTTTGTGGGCAAATAGGATAGTGGGAGAAAAAGGCCAGAAAATTAAGCCTGTTTGGGCTTATAATGATAAGTAAACTTTCAGAGGGCTGTAGAAGGAAACACACATAAGAAAAGGCTGATGACAATGATGGTCATCAGTTGTCTTTGTGAGGTTACAGAATTAAGGTAGTTAAGGTGTTAGAGTGAGTAAACTCTGGAGGTCCGAGGATGAGCAGGAGGACAAGTTGGATGTATATGTCCACTGTCAGTACGCCCATTCTTACTTACCAGCAGGGGTAGGTTCCAAAGGCTAGATTAGATTGTTTAGGGGAAAATAGGCATTATGTGAAAATGGAAAACGACCACATGAATTGCCAAATTTCATCACTACATAGCTGCCAAGCCACTGAGGATCATGGTCCAGCCAAGATAACACATAAACTATAACCATCATAGCCAGTGTTGCCCTCACCTTAGTCACTTATTACTGCCAGATGTACATTGTTTATATACAAAAATAGTTGGATAGTAGGCTTTGTTTTTTTTTTCCAACTTGTAATATATGTGAAATGTCAGTATCTTAGGTTCTCGAAGTAGTAAACTCAGTGAAGCATATATATGAGAGACTAGTTTGTGGGAAAATTTCAAGCACTCACACCCCGCCGGTTGTGTGTGTGTGTGACGAGATTGATTGATTGATCTCAGGGAAATAGGTCACCTGGTTGTAGAAGTTAGCAGGTTCCAAATCTATGAGTTAGATGTCACCTTGGAGGCTTCTCCTGACTCTTGTAAGGGCTGTAGGGCTGACAAACCCAACATCAGCAGGTCATACTGCTGGCTGGGTCATAGTGTAGAAAGGAAGCTGCTGACTCCCAAACGATGGAGACGGACTTCTGCCAGGAGTCCAGAAGTTCAGAAGTCAATTGATGCAAGATCTAGAGCCAGCCCAAAAAAGAAGCAATCTTTGCCAAAACATCCATAGATATAGGAAGCAGGCCATGCCCTAGAGTACACTCCTTTCAACGGATCTGTTCATAGCAGTTCTCATCATAGAGGGAGTTATATATCAGAGCTCATCATGGGGGATTACATAATAACTGCCAAACCACTGAGAATCATGGCCCAGCCAAGTTGACATACAACCTTACCCTTCAGAGTTGGATAATGAGATAGTCGCTAAATGGGGGTAGGTATAGTGGGGAATGAACAGTGAGTCCCAGGTTGACAGCAACCACGGGTCAGCGGGCTACTAGAGTTTCGAAATGATTAAATTATATGTTGTGAGAAACATGGAAAGAACAGGCTTAGATTTTCAGAACTTGGATGAGAATATGATTAAATCGGAAGCTGTATGCTGGTTGAGTGGACATTTTAATCTAAATATGTATGGTTATTCAGTTAATGGCTTTGTATGTTTATCTTCAAAATTGTTGTTTTAGAAAACAGAAACTTGGCATTGCCTTCCTCAAGAAATGGACAATTCTCAAACCTTGGGTACATCCAAGGCCAAGTTTAATGTGAAAGAGGAAGGGGCCGCAGTGACAGACCTCCCCTCCCTGGAGGAAGGCATATTGACCCAATCAGAAAATCGAGTGAAGGATCACAGACAAACTTTCCTATGTTCTCCATTGCTAGGTAATGTCTTTTTATTTTATTTATTTAAATAAATCATTTTCTTGGGGGCTCTTACAGATCTTATAACAAGCCATATACATCAATTGTATCAAACACATTTGTACATATGTTGCCATCATCATTTTCAAAACATTTTCTTTCTGTTTGAGCCCTTGGTATCAGCTCTTCTTTTTACCCTCCCTCCCCCCCACTCCCACCCTCATGGACCCCTGATAAATTTTAAATTATTATTTTTTGTTT